AGGAGCGCGCTGGGGTCTATGGAAATTCCTCGTCTGAGCCCCCCGAATCGCAGCGGCAGCAAAACCCGGGCTCGGCGTTTGAGCTGAGTCTGGATAACCTCGTTAGGGGGATGGATGAGCGGGGTGCAGGCGCAGGAGGCTTTGAGGCAGCGCAAAAGTAGCAGAGCGCCTTTATTCATTTATCCATTAACGTCCTTTGTTATTTCCAGAAACATTAGGAGCTATTTTCTTCCTCAGCTGCTGCTTTCCTTTTCCTTGCAGCTGCCCCTCCGCGCCGGCTGGGCTGGGGCAGAGGCAGAATTGCTGCGAATGCTTCGTTTAAAGGGGTGTTGGTGAGGCCAGATTCCGGTAAGTGCTTCCCCCGAGCCCGTGGGCAGCCCCGCTGCCTTTCTCCTCATTCCCCCACCCCGAGCCATGACTGATGCTGAGTCCGGGGCTGTCTCTCCCTCCCAGTGTGGGGCTGCTCGGTGGCATCACTCCTTTTCTGACCCTGATTTTCCGTTTCCCTCCCCAGGAGCCTGCAGGACGAAGCCGCCGTCCCAGGGAGCCTTGCTGGGTGCGGGGCAGGGTCCTGTGCGGCTGCAGGGGTGGCACAGCTGCAGCAAAGCTGTGAGGAGGAGCAGGATGTGCCCCACAGATACCTGAAACCTGCGACCAAGTGATTTTTGGGTGCTGAGGTTGGCCAAAACAAGCGGTTTCTTGGGTCTCAGCTGCGGTCATGGAGCCCGATGGGGAGAGGGACGTGACCAACGCCACCGTCTACGAGCTCGTCCTGCAGAACCGCTCCAACGCCAGCACACAGTTCACCGGGGTGCAGCTCATCCAGTCCTTCAAACCCCTCATCATCCCCTGCTACGCCCTGGTCGTCCTCGTCGGCATCTTCGGCAACTACCTGCTCCTCTACATCATCTGCAAGACCAAGAAGATGCACAACGTCACCAACTTCTTCATCGGGAACCTGGCTTTCTCCGACATGCTGATGTGTGCCACCTGCGTGCCCTTCACCCTGGCCTACGCCTTCAACCCCCAGGGGTGGGTTTTTGGGAAGTTTCTGTGCTACTTTGTCTTCCTGATGCAGCCCATGACAGTCTACGTCTCCGTCTTCACGCTCACGGCCATCGCGGTTGACAGGTAAGTGCCAGTGGGGAGGACGGCGTGGGTCCCCTCACCTCAGGGGGTTACGTGCCAAACACTTGGCCTTAAAATCGGCAAAAGAAAAATCCAGGGGATCTTTGCAGTCCCTCTGCAGCTTTTTATTTAGCATCCAGCCTCAGCCTCGGGTGGAGGAAGCGTAGTGGGGGTGCTGGGCTGGCTGCTATAGTGCACCGGGAAGTGGCGTTGTGCTGTTTCGCGCTGCCCGTACACATCCATCTCTCCCGAAATCCAGTCTGCCGG